GACAAGCCTTATTCTGGAATGCGTCAATATCACACTTCTTCTTTTTGTGTTGAAACTTTGATACATGATGTTTTATCTGACTACCAATATTGGTGTATCTTTGTGTATTTAAGTACGGATAGAATTAATCGTCGATCTCAAATGCAAGAATTAATTAAAAAATCTTCATACTGGGGTACCTTCTGGGTTTTAACTGGTGATTTTAATGATATTCTTAATGATTCAGAAAAACAATGAGGAAGAACTAGAGATCCTTGGACCTTTAGAGACTTTAAGGATTTTATTTGGAACTTAGGTGCAATTGATTTGGGTTACACAGGAAAACCTTGGACCTGGTGGTGCTATAGGAAAAATGAGGGTATTATTCAGGAAAGGTTATATGGGTCTTAGTCTCCCCTAATTGGAAAATAAAGTTTGAAGAGGCTAATTTGAATCACCTTGATACTGAGGCTTCTGATCATTCCTTGTTAATTTTGTCTTCACATGCTGAACAAATTAAGAAGAAAAGACGTTTTTACTTTGATAAAAGGTGGATTGATCGGGAAGAGGTTCAGAATATTGTATCTGAAGCTTGGTCCAATGACTATATTGGGTTCGAACAATCTCAAGTTAACTTTAAAATAAAGAAGTGTCGTAGATCCTTAGTGGCTTGGATAAAGGGATGAAATGGTAATGCTAGAAAGAAAATTATTCGTATTAAGAAACAGATTACAGACCTTAGAAGTGATGCTAATAATTTTGATTGGAATAAACTTAGGTTGTTAAAAGGGAATTAAGTCAAGCTTATAAAGAAGAAGATATTTTCTAGAAACAAAAGTCTAGAGCCTTATGGTTGCTGGATGGCGATAAGAATACGTCTTATTTTCACATGGCAACCTTACAAAGAAGAAGAAGAAATATAATTAGGGGTCTTCAAACATCTGAAGGGAGGTAGGTGAGTGACCGAACTGAAATAGTTCAAAAGGTTGAGGCTTATTATGATACACTATTCTCTACATCTAACCCGACAAATTTTGAATGTATTCTAAATCATGTCAATGTAACGATTAGTGGCTATATAAATCGAGAACTCATAAAAGATGTTAGTAAAGAGGAAGTAAAGAATGCGTTGTTCGCTATGCATCCTCTTAAAGCGCTAGGTGTGGATGGAATGACTCCTTTATTTTTTCAAAGGTATTGGAATATTATATCAAAGGAGATTTATGAAACTATTGATAGCTTCTTCACTACAGGTTACCTAATTCTTTCGTGGAACCATAATTTAATCACTCTAGTACCTAAAGTTAAAATCCCTACTTTGGTCTCGCAATTTAGACCCATAAGTTTATGTTCTACTCTTTATAAAATTATTGCAAAAATTCTTGCTACGAGAATGAAAACTCTTTTAACTAAGGATATATCTCTGACTCAAGCAGCTTTCGTTGGACATAGACAAATCACTGATAATGTTATCTTAGCACATGAATTTATGCATCTTCTAAAAAATAAACGCAGAGGTAAAGAGAAATTTATGGCGATGAAATTGGATATGTCAAAAGCATATGACAGAGTTGANGATATGTCAAAAGTATGTGACAGAGTTGAATGGATATATATCCACAAAATGCTTTTGCAAATGGGTTTTCTTGCCAGATTTGTATAATGGATTATGCAATGTATTTCTACCCCTACCTACAGTTTTAATATAAATGTGGAGGTAGTTGGATCAATTAAGCCGACTAGAGGAATACGACAAGGAGATTTGCTATCACCTTATCTATTTTTAATATGTGCAGAACGTTTATCTACTTTATTGAAGATTTCTGAAACTCAAAATAAAATTCAAGGTTTAAAATTAAATAGACATGGGCCGAGCTTAACTCGCTTATTTTTCGCAGATGACTCTTTTATATTCTGTTCAGCTAACGCTCACAATGCAATCCATGTAGCTGAGATTCTAAGAAAGTATGAGCAAAGTTTTGGCCAAGTGGTTAATTTAGATAAATCAGCTATTTGTTTTAGTAGAAATGTAACGGAGGAGGAGAAAGTCGACATATTTTCCTTACTTGGACAACAACAAAGAAATGAGATGGGTATGTATTTAGGATTACCAGCTATCGTGGGATGCTCAAAGAAAAAGATGTTAGAGTTTCTTAAGGATAGAGTCAAGACAAAAATAAAAGGATGGAAGGGTAAATTTTTAAGTACAGCAGGGAAAGAAGTAATGCTTAAATCTTTACTTGCAACAATCCCTACCTATGCCTTGTCTTGCTTCCAACTCCCTGCTGGTCTGTGCAAGGAGATTACATCTCTTTTTTCTAACTTTTGATGGGGATAAACTGAGAATAAAAGGAATATGCATATTGAGAAATAGGAAAGATTATGTGATTCTAAATCAAGAGGGGGCTTAGGATTTAGGGATTTAAAGGCTTTCAATATGGCTTTGTTAGCTAAACAAGCTTGGCATATATTGTCATACCCGGATTCGTTATTAACAAGAGTTCTTAAAAGCAAATACTTTCCACACTCAACTTTCCTTGACGCTTCTACATCATCTACATGATCATGGATCTGGAGAAGTATTTTGTGGGGAAGAGATCTATTAGTTACTAGACTAAGGTGGAGGATCTCTGATGGAAAAAATATAAATGTTTGGACTGATCCTTGGATTCCAAGAAAGAATGATTTTACTCCAAAAAGTATTCAAATGCAAAACAATTTAGATCTTAAGGTGGCCGACTTAATTGACGAAGATACGCATACCTGGAAACTTCATAAGATAAGTACGACCTTTGAACCTAAAGATGTAGATGCAATTTTGTCTATACCAATATCCATCATAGGTCTTAATGATAGATTGTTGTGACATCACTCAAAATCTGGAAACTATGAAGTTAAGTCAGGTTACTATTTAGCAAAGGGTTTGGCCGGTAAGACTAGGAACTCAGAAGCCCAGGCGAGTTGTCATTCTTTTCCTAAAAGCTTCTGGGATTCTTTGTGGAACTTAGAAATTAAAAATAAACTTAAACATTTTCTACGGAAGTGTGTGATTAACTCTTTGCCCGTTAATTATACCTTAGCTAAAAGATTACAGAACTTGGATAAAACGTGTAAGATTTGTGGTCTTGAAAGTGAAGATATAGAACATATGCTATTTAGATCGATGTCCCCGGTCTCAGTTTGTATGGAAACAAAGTCCTATTAATTGGCTCGATATTGACAACATAACTGACTTTTCTGTGTGGTGGTACAACTTGTTCTTAAATACTAAGCACTTTCCTGAATCTACTGAATTATTAGATTTGAGTGTTAATCTTATGTGGCAAATTTGGAAAGGAAGGAATGCTTGGTGTTTTAATCAGGAAATGTTAGAGCCAACTGAGATTGTTTCTAAAGCTCTTTTTGAGTATAAAAAATATAAAGATCTATTGACTAGTTGCCTCGCTGCACGATATTCAACTGGAAATGAGTTTCTGCCTAAACTAACAAATTTTCATGATGATGTTTTATTATTTACAGACGCAGGATTACGGTGTGATGATAGACATGCGAGTATTGGTGTCGCGGCTTTGAATAGCTTTGGAAAACTGCTTCATGCCCATGGATCCTCAATTCAATATGTTGGGAAAACCATGACTGCTGAAGCGATTGCTATAAGAAAGGCACTTGAATGTGCTATTACTCTTGGATGGAAAAGTGTGAAGATTTTATCTGATGCTAAGAATGTTGTTGATATGATCCAAAAACAGGTGGCTACTTCATGGGAGATAGAAGTGTTGTGTGAAGACATTTGGAAGCTATCAAGCATGATAAATCTCGTCGAGTTTCTTTATATTCCAAGGAAGTTAAACAAAGTATCACATAATTTAGCTAAATTTTCTATTTCTTTGTTGAAGAACATCTCTTGGGAGAAGTTTTTCCCAATTTAAGTTGTTCTGGATGCAAAGAGTACATTTGAACTTTATAATTAATTCGTTAATCTGAAATCTTTGTTTTGGAGAAAATATATTATATATATAATTGAAGGCCCTTGCCCGGTTACGTGGCATCTTTCAGAAACCAACAAAATTACTTATCTTTTGTCTCCTTTCTTTGCCTCTTTTTCCCTATTCTTTTCGTTCGTAAAAGAAACAACGTTTCATTTACTTTTTCCCGGATAACAACGTTTAATTATTACACGCCTCAAAAGCCTCTAACAAATAGAAAGCCTGAAAGTCTTAATCGAAAGTCAAACCCAGAGTAGGAGCCGCTTCACAAGGCGTAACAGTTATGACATTTTTGATTCTATGACTCTCGAAGACATACATGGCGGTTCTATTCCTTCAATTCTCCTCCTCCCTTCGGCACCTGGCGTGTAACTTCCCTCTTTCCTGTGTATCTATATTTCTTGATAAATTTCTGAAGAAAAAAATTTAACTTCCTTTAGTGGTTTGTACAATATTAGAAACCTAATTGATTTTATACTGTTTTGGAATTGGAAAGACACTACTTTGTGCCATTACTGTCATGGATAAGATCGTTTCCATCAACAAGACTGAGTTTGTTCACTCTGTTTTCACTTTGTTGGATTTAATTAAGTAATGGTAGTTAAATACAATAGCATTATACAGTATTATCTCGTTTTATGTTTGTCGGAGAGTTATAGATTTTTCTTTTTATTTATTCTGATTATTTGTAGAGAATGTGAAATTCGTTACAATTGAAACTATTTTGGCAATTCTTGTTGAAGTTTGGCAAAATGCCAAAGTCCCACATTGGTTGGGAGTTAAGTTTGGAAGGGATTTTTCCCCTATAAAAGAAGGCATAATGTTTAGAATTGAAACACACCTCTCATTTGCCTTCTCATCTGTTTAAGGCATTTGTATCTTCTCTCTTTAGTATTATTTCACTTGTATTTTTGGAGTGAAATAAAATATTGGTTGTGTCCGAGGAGTAGGCAAAATTAGCCGAACCTCGTAAATTCTGGTGTTCCCTTTATTGTTGCTTTATTGTCTTATTTATTATTTGGTGGCTGTCATAATTTTTGGTATAGTAGTTGTGACTTATTCACACTATATACATTTGGCTTCCGCAACAATTCTAAACTATAGGAAAAAACCCTTTGGGACTAATCTTGGCTCCCACAATATAACTTATGGATGAAGAATTTTACCAGTTTGCTGTTGTATTTGATGCGCAATATGTTTGATAGAGAAGCAGACGTTGTTGTTGGGACACCTGGTCGCATTATTGAACTCCTAATGAAGGACTATTTTAGTGTTTATGGTAAAGCTGATCAGATGCTTTATGTGGGTTTGCAAAGGATGTTGAAATCTAGAAAATATTACGTAGAAATTTCAGATAATAATGTTTTCAGCCATAATGTCAAGTTGGATACTACTTACTAAGAATTACTAACAAGCTCTTGAGTAGCAAAATCACGAGAGCTGTCTTATTTTTATTTTTGCTGAGTACCCTGTAGGTTTTTTATTTGCTAAGTTATTATGCGTATATATGTGTGCAGGTAGGAATTTTGATGAGAAGTTAGCTGATAGCATTTTCTTATATTTAATTGCTTGTGAGATGCATTAGAAACCGGTAGTCCTTGGACCTTTAATATCAGCATGAATCTATTATTTATAGTGGAATTGAGACCAGTTTAGTAGTTAATTTTTTCTTTTTGAGGAAGCTTATTTATAGTGGGAGGCACCATATAGACTTTAGAAGAACAAAAGATTAGGATACAATAAGACAGAATTGATATCGAGGATTAATATAAGCATCTGAGTTGGGGATCGAAGCATAGTGGATTAAATTGTTTTTTACTGTAAAAGTTTGTTATTTACTAATTATGATGGCTAAACTATATTAGATATAGATTTTTGGGTTATGTTGCTCGGACTTTCTAAAAATGCTGTTGCATATCCTCCAAAAATCAACTAATATTAGAGGATCCAACACACGCCCGACTGTATTTTTAAAGAGATCAAGTAACATAATTTTTTATTACATTGTTTCATATTTGGGAGGCACTGTATGAACTTTAAGGGGAATCAAGTTTCATTTTCTTTGTGAACTTATATGTTTAAGTTCGACGCTAACGAAAATGTTGTTATTTGCCTGTTGGTGAAGATGGGTTACAAAATTAGATATTGTTCTGCTTGGAATGAATTGCTGTAAATTAAACTGTTCTCATTGTGAATAATTGAGTTTCTTGATTTGGTAGCCGATTAGCTATCGGACTGAAACCGTTGGCGCTTATTATTCGGGGTATGCCTATGGGAGCATTCTTTGCATGTTTATCCATATCTTTACTTGTGTTTATCATTTGAATTTGTTTTTGATATCAGTAATTAAATCAATCATCGTACGCAAATCTCTATTACATTTTGTATGTTATACTATTCGGTATATATGTCACATTTGTCGTCTTTGTTGCATGATGCTATACGTAAATCACAGAAATTCACTCAGTCTGTGTATCTATGTGTACGTGGTGTGTGGATGATCCATTTGCGAGGGGTCAGCAAAGTTTTTTAGAAAGGTACGTAAAGAAAGGTGTTTTTCAGTTGATTATGACTTTTTTCTTATATTTTCTGATTCCATAAGACTAAATACACCTCTGAGTTCGTATATAGTAAGATGTTATTTTAGAGTGGAGTATAAAATATCATTTACATGGAGAGAACTAGGCTTTTTTTCAGTGACAATACTATATACATGCTGGTTAGTGCTACATACTGGGTCAAAGTTGTAGTATTTATTATTGTCGTTCTAACGTATCTATTTTTTATTAGGTTCTAACTTTCATGCACGATCTAATGCTGGTGTACTCTTATTAGGGATATATCAGGGTCGCAACACGGTGAACTTAGCATCAGTTTAATTGCTACAAGTTATGCTTAATCTAGAAGATCAAGCCAAGCAACAAAATCTAGGGAGTTGGAGCAGGGCGCTTTCATTTATATTTTCATTCTCTCTGATTTTTGTTAAACCACTGGACAAGTATTACTACCGTAACAAAATTTCCATTGAAGCTGCATTTTTTATGGGGATGGGGTGGCTGAAAATAAAAAGTTGTCATACTACTATGTGTATATACGCCTTTTATTCTTTTGTAAGACTTGTGTATCTTTTGTTGTTCAAAAGACACAGAATTTTGCTCTTAGGTTTCTTTGTCGTGATGTGTTTCGGAGCCTCTAAATTAGCTTCCATTTTGTGGTCTATTTTTTTAAACGCTTGAGCTTGTGCAGCATTTTCAACGCAGAGGAGAGCACATTATGTCCGATGTGCTCTATTCTCTTATTAAGGTTGGCGGTTCAAATGTTGATGTAACTTCAATGACCGAAAGAAATTTTATAATTTGTAGCTTTCAATGTTATGGAAGCTATACCTTTGTCTTGACTCTTGAGAGATGGACGTGGATTCAAGTTTAGATTGCGTCTTGCATACATCCCTTAAACTCTTTATGTATTTAAAAAAAATTGTCTCTACTACAGATAATAGCACACTTAAATATTTAGCAAAAGTTAATTTTCTTTTTCTTAATTATAAGTATGACATTAACTAATTAGCCATGTCTTAATTTTCTTTATAACCGCGTGAAGCGCAAATGGATTAACTAGTTTAATTATAAATGGCGTGATAATTGATCTTTAGTTTATTAAGCTAAACTTCAAATTATTAGTTTAATATTTTCTTTTACCATCACTGTTTTAAATATATAAACAATTATACCAATATCTTAAATTTTCCTAGCCCCTTATGGTCAAAAATTGAAATTGAGGAAGTACTTTCTCATTAGTGAAAGTTTTTTTGATAGTAAAAGATGCTTGTATTAATTTAGTTAAGTGACATTAGAGGGAGTGGTGGACCTCGAGGGTTCCACAGTACAAAATGTTACAATGGGCGGGCATGGTTGTCCCAAACTAGTGCTAGGAGTTGATGCTGAATTTAAATAAAAAAAGATAGTAGTGTTGGCCATATGAGTTGAATGGTGCCACAACTGTATAGTGCCCATACGGTCATGCATCAGGTCTGCCCTCAAAAAGAGTGGAGGAATCAAAAATATCGTAGGTGTATTTTCCATTGGTAGAGTGGATCTGTATTTGGCAAGTTTATCTGCCACTGCGTTTAGCTCCCTGTATGTGTGCGAGATACGTGGAATACCCAGCTATTAGAGTAGAAACCTTCATTCATAAAGAACGAATGAGTAATGAAGATTATGGTTGTGTAGCATATTAATTACCTCAGTGTCGCGCCCCCTTTTTTTCCCTTGCAGGATCGGGTTTATGATATTTTTGCTGGGACAACTCTTTCCTTTTGGGAAAGGGGGTTTGCATTTTTTGAAGAGTCGTCACCTAACGATTTAAGGTGCGTTAGGGCGCCTATAGGGTTCATCTATAACTACGTTTGATAACCAGAGATAGGGTAAGAGCTTGAAATTATCCTAAGGGGAAGGTGTTAGGCACCCCTCAGGATCCACTAATATGGTTCCCGGCCAGACAATTTTTGTGAATTTGTGCAATTAGCAAATAAAACAAGTATGTCTCAAATAGTAGGGGATTTAAGTTTAAACACACAGGTATTTGAAAAGTAAGTAATGAAAAGCAAGATTTTGAAAAAATTTACAATCTAAGCATATTTGGGAATGTAAAGGGGGTGTCCTAGGTTTGTTTATAATGTGGATCACGTCAATGCAATACCCGATATGACACTTCTCAGAGAGGGGCTACACGTGGTATTAACGTACCGGTCATCATGTCCATATCTACCCTTTACCACCCCGTGAAGGTAATTAAAGCGAAGGTTGTTCTCGACCCCTATTGCATGTTGTTACCCGTCCCTTCCTATCAGTCCCAGAGGAATTTAGGACTCCTATCCTATAAGAAGGAGGTTCTAGGCAGGCCCTCAAGTTTAAAGGAAAAATACTAAGGCGACAAATAAGAACACATAAGACTGCATTTAGGGGTAAAACACATAAACAGATAGAAGACTCAGATACACCTCCACAAGTAATGCACAAAGACAACACGACTCATACACAAGTAAGGTCCGTATTTGAACACAGAATTCTAAAGCATGGTATCTAAGTGATAACAGCAGAACCAGATCTATTACATGACTCAGAAAAGAAGTCTGAATCGGGCTTGCCTACTGATTTTAACAGGTTGACAGTTAGACACTAATCACAGAGACAGTTCTGGTTTTATTTAAAGTTGATTGCTTAAGGCTTGCCTAGGCGTAAAATAATATGTAGCAGTTATTCAGAATTATTAAAATAGTTTGGAGATTGTTTTTCCTAAAACATGTTGTTCTAAATATTGCAAAGGCATGCAAGAATAATTACCAGTTTGTTTAAAGTAGGATGAAACTGTTGATACTCCTTTTCATGCATTAGTAGTTTAACTAAGCGTATCTGAGTGAGTATGAACGAGAACATAATAATGGTATCTAATGATTTATATGCAGGATTCCTAAAGCAGGAATTCTAAATGCACATCATGATTGCTGAATTTCCTAAGAGCAAGATTTCTAAATGCACAGCATGGATGCAGAATTTTCTAAGAGCAAGATTTCTAAACGCACATCATGATTGCAAAATTTCCTAAGAACAGGATTTCTAAATGCACAGCATGGATGCAGAATTTCCTAAGAGCAAGATTTCTAAATGCAGAGCATGAATCCTAAGCATGATTTCTATTGCGCAATTAGGAATATAAACCTAATAACATGTTTTCTACCCTTAACAACTATAAAATGCATATTTACCCCATCCCTTTCACTAGCCAACCCAAATATTTGTTTACAACAAGTTATTACAGACCAATCATTGAAATGAATTACATAAGAAAAGTTACACTATAGAGAGCCTGAAAACAGGCCCAAACTTTCAGCACCTGATTAGGACTTCCTCCTTGAGTTATGTAATAAATTACCTCAAGTGCCAAGATTATTCTATAGTCTTTCTCATATCTGGGTGTATCAGAGTTCCCTAAGGACCTCAAGGGATCCCGGTCAGTGCTCACACCCAGACTGCATAGCCAAGACTGAGTAAGTGCAGTGTGGAAATGCCAACTTTTATGTGTCCAAGTTCAGAAGGAGCTCCAGGGTCCCAAGGCAAGGCTCACACAAAAGGGGCAGAACCTAGTGGTCTAAGAGTATATGTGAGATTGCTTGACATAGATTTAAAAGCGTTGAGTTAGAAACAGTTTTGAAACAGCATGTTTGAAATAAGTTTTGGAAAACGCAATAGAAGAGTTTGCCTTGGGGAAAATAGTTTTGAAAAGAGAAGGGAACAGGAGCAACAACAACTTGAAACAAGCCAGCACACACAGAACAAATTCAAAGAATAGTATCATCTCAACATTCACAAGCAGGGAAGTAAGGGGTTGGGGACATAGAGGGCCCAAATCAGAAACACATAAATATGGCTGAGAAGAGATGCATATAGACCAGCAAGTACAAAGGACAAGTAGGAACTGATTGGCCTTCAGAACACAAACAATTACTACTTCAAAGTGTTAACAAGGGAATCATGCTTGAAATTAGAATAGTAATAAGACATAACAGTCATGTTGAGGACAAGGGTCTACATAATTAGTCATGCCACTTAGTGTTAACCAAGTACATTAGGAGTTTATGATACTAATATGGCATACTAGTTGAGGGAAATAAACAAAACTCAATTAGACATGCTGATTACACTTGAACAAGAGATGGCAAAACTTAAGCATGCTGAATAAAGCAGTAAACAAGAAGGGCAATTAAACACATGAGCCATTAAGTTAGTGCAGAAGGAGACATGGATTAACAGACAAGGAGCACATAGAGTTGAGTTTCAGAATTGAACTAGGAACATACCAGTTAAGGAAGCAAAGTGCAGAAAGTAAAGCAAGTAGTGTCCCACAGTCTAGCCTTGGCTTTCAACTGGCTAGACAAGCAGTGAGCACAAGTAGCAAAGAGAAAAGAGAGAGTTTTTATGTGTGTGTGTGTGTGTGTGTTTTTGAACTAATTGTTTGTGTGTTAAGACTGTAGAAGAGAGTCATTTATATAGTAGTTTGAAAACTGGTTCAAAATAAGGCAAGAATCAATTCTTCAGTAATTATAGAACTCAGTCTCAATTAAGAACGAAAATCAGCCAAGTATCCCTAAATTAAGGGAGTAATTTACCAACGGTAGAAAGCAAGTAACAGATAAGGAAAGAATCCAAGTAACATAGGTACACAATATGTAAATTAGGGCTAGATACATAAGGGTCTAATTAAGAAAATAATAGTAGAAATCAATTACAATATAGTCAATCACATAACAAGGTAAGAAATAATTTTAAGGGATAGGAAAAATAGCTGGAAATCTGCATAAGGGCATCAACACTGTAAATCAAGGATTTCAAGAATCGAAAAAATAGTACTAATATTAAGGAAAATTGTATAGACTTCCATGAATAAACCAGTAAACGGAGTACAAACAGGAAGAACCAAATTGAAACCCTTAATAAGACATCACTAGGATAAAAATCATAGAAATACTCTAACTAATCACAACATATCCGTGAGAATCGCACATATAGACAAATCGACTGAACGAACAGTAAAGACAAACTCAGAATCACAAACTAGAGCCAAACAAATAAGGGTTTTCAATTTAATGAGTCAGATAAAGGAAAAACTTAAATAAACCATTTAAACGTAGTAAAAATCATATGATAATACTGAAAATCAGCGGAGAAGTCGTTTAAAAAAAGTTAAGAAACCCTAGTCTTGAAGACGAAGGGTTACTTTAGAGAAAATCGGAAAACACCTTCGAGGAAAACAACAAAAGCTCATAATATACACAGATCTAAGATAAATCTAAAAGAAATCGGAGGATCTCAAGAGTTAGGGTTTCATAGAACCCAGAGAAGATGATAAAACCTTAGAACGTTACCGGTTTTAGCCGAAAAAGTTATGGATCTAATGCGAACAGTCATGGATGGCCGGAAAATGGCATGAAAGACCATGGATAGGAGTTGAACCGCTCCAGGTTCACCTGAGGACCTTAGAGTAGTGTCAAATCGGCATGGGGTGAAGTAGGGGCTAGGAGATGATGAGAGGTCATGGTTTCCGGCGAGGGAGGTGGCCGGAGAAGGTGGACAAGGTCCATCAAAGAGGATGGGAGAAGAGAAGG